CGCTGGATGGTGAATTCCAGTAGGCGATGATCACTGTCGCCTAGGTGATCAAGCACCCACAGTCCCCTCACCAGGTCGTTGCCAGGTCAATATACTAAAAATCTAACATCCACAGTAACTTATTTTAATTTTATTTTTAAATGATTTTTTTGTCCTGATTTGTGTGTGTTTGCATAGTGTATATAGAGGTGATTGCATAATAGCTCAAAATGAAGTCTTATTCTTGTATATTGTAGGGGGTATGGGTGGGGGGTATGGGGAGATGTGTAGGTGGGTATGGAGTTTGTGGGGTGTGTGGAGGGGGAGAGTGTGTGGGGGTGTGTTTGTAGTGGCATGTGTGTGGGTAGTAGTGAGCAGGGCTTCCCCTAGAGACCCATGGGTGTGCATATGTGTGTGTGGGGGGGGTGTATAGAGAAGGGTGTGGGGGGTGCAGTGTTTGTGGGTTGTGTGATTGTGTATGGGTGAGAGTGTGGTCATGGGGTTTCCAGGGGAGGGTTTGTGTGGGTATGGTGGAGTGTGCATGGGAGCCCCACGTGCCCTATGGTGCCTCCCCACCACTGCCAGCAGTGCACTGCCCCAGCACCCCCCCCCTCCCCCCCCCCGGCCCCCCCAGCCACTCTCCACTGATGCGGGCACAGCTTCAGTCCAGCCCACCCCATGCCTGCTCTGCAAAGCCCGGCCATGGCGTGTCCTGCCGCTGCTTGGGCACACAGCAAGGCTAGGGTGGCTCTACACTGGACTGTCTTTCTGGCCGGTGCAGGGCTGGGGCTGGGAATACTGACGGGGACCCGCACGCAGCCCCGACCTGCCCTGCGCCTGCTGCAGACTCGCCTGCTTACGCTGAACAGCTGCAGCAACAGCAGTGCCGGCAGGGCAGAAGTGTGCTCGGCATGGGGGAAAGTGGCCTCTCCCCCTCAGCATTGCCCAGCACTTCCTGCAGTAGCTGTGCGGAGCTTGCGCTGGACTGCCCTGCAGCTCCTCTGCAGTGCCTCCACTGCCCCACAGGGCAGCCCAAAGGTGGCAGTGATAGTGCAGGGCAGCCCAGCACAGGCTCTGCACTGCTGCAGGAAACACTGGGCAGCACTGAGGTGTAGAGGTCACTTTTCCCCTGCACTGAGCACACCTCTGCCCTGCCAGCACTGCTGTTGCTGCGGCTGTTCAACGTGAGCAGGTGAGTGCAGAAGGTGTGGGGCTGCATGCGGGTCCCTGTCAGTATCATGGGGCTGGGGCTAGAAGCTGCTGCCACCACCTGGGCTGCCTAGAAAGGCAGTCCAGCCTGGAGCTGTCCCAGCCCCACTGCGTGCTCAGGGGGCAGCAGGACGCACTACTGTGGGACGATGCCAGGGCCAGGCGGGACTGAGGGACCCACCACGGGCCAGACAAAGCCCCTCCACAGGCTGGATTTGGTCTGCGGGCCATATTTTGCCCACCTCTGCTCTAGGCCAATGAGGGCCAACCTTTTTTCATTGGTGTGCCACTAATAAGCCCCATGCCCTCCACAAGTGCAGCTCCAATCCTGGTCTGCTGCCTGATCAGCTGCTTTGCTTTCTGGTCCCAGCCCTGTGCTCCCTATGTAATTTGCTACTCTGTTTTCTTCTTTCCCTGTGCTGCCTGCCTTATTTGGTGTTTTGTTTTCTGCTTCTCCTATCTACTGCAGTGCAGCCTCTCCACTCCTGAAACTGCCACGTGGTGCATAGAGGCTTCCTTTCCATGCAGTTGCACATCCAGGCATTTGTGACCTGTACCAAGTTCATGCACTCAAACAGAAACCATCTGTGCTTTTAGGAATCACTCTTCTCCCTTGTGCCCAGGCAGCACAGAGGAGTAAAGGCTGCTTTGTTCAGTTGCATAGAGTAAAAAGGGCTACTTGTGATGAAAGAACAGAAAGAGTGACTGCATGAACAATGAGTAGAAAACAAAATACTGAATCACTGACTGCAGACTAGTAGAGAGCGTGAGCTCTAAGCTGGAAGAGAACAAGCAGACTGGTTAGACTGGCTTGCAGTCTAGACCTGGCGCTAGAATATTATGCACATTTGTGAGCACTGAGCTAGAGTGATATGCAGCAGTCCTCCTTGCTTTCTTCCAGTCAGCCACCATTGTTACCAAGGCACTATCCAGTTATGCTACTAAATTCTGTGATATCCTCCTGGTAAAGCATAAGCTGTGTAAACTCCATCCAAATTCAAACTTCATCCAGTCTTCAATAGGAGATGAGGTTCACTTTTCCATCACCATTTTCTTTTTCTCTCTCCCCTCCAGCTTCTGTATCTTGGGGACCAGACTTGGCCCCAAATTAGATTTCAGAGTCTTCAGTTTTTATTTCCTCTATCCTGAGCACTGTGTGACCATTGCACAGAATTGGGATGACATTTATCAGGCAACTGAGGTTATGCACTTTGAAAAGCCATCTTTTGTTTGGGCTTGAGTCTCATTGAATAAATGTGGTTGCAGTGGCTTGAAAGAACATCCTATTTATCCAAGTTTCAGGGTCTAAAGTAGAAATCTACAGGCATGGTTGTTTTGACATACTTGTTGATGATGACAAATTGGATAGAAAAGCTGAGAACCTTGAATTATCTTGGATAGCCCTTGAAATCTAGTTTATTCTTTTTGTTTTTTGGGTCTCTGTGAAAAACCTGTTCTTAAAACTGCTTATAGTGGAAATACCAACCACAGAGTTTCAGAAATCATTAGTTAGCCCCCACCCCTGAAATCATGTGATTATACTATGGGCTCTTTTTTGTTGTTGTTTAAATGTAGTATTATTATTATTATTATTATTACTTTAATGTACAATGTGTAACAATTTGTATTATCCACTTTTCTCAAGTACTAAATTGATATTTGTCTCTGTTACAAGAGCTCTGGTCTCCATGCCTGCTATGCTTTCCCCAGTCATTAATTCCCCACCTCCCTCCGCACACATCAGTTCTCTTCCCTTATGAGTTAGTTCTGCATGCTTCTCAGTTCCCATGTCCCCACAGCCCCTTGATCTCGCCTCTCTCTGCTCCTTCAGGGGTTCTTTACCTTCCACCTCTGCCTACAGGCACCTGCAGCAGGACCTCTTTTCTATCATAGGCCGGGACCACACTGCTCCATGTATTCTTTGTATCTTTGCCCCTGTCCTAGAAAGTAAAATGGAAGGGAAGAGGAGCAGGGGGTGTTGGAAGAGCAAAGGAGCAGAGCTTGCATTCTGAAGAAGACTGAAGGAAGAGGGAACAAAGCTCAAACCTGCTGGACTCTTTTTTAGCACTATCTTTGCCTCCACCTCTACCCTCTGAAGAACTGTCTGGTCTTAAGGGAACGCAGAGAGAGTTCTTCCTGGTTCCTGCAGCAGCCCTGATAGTCAAAACAGAATCAGCCCTTTTATTTTCTAGTTCATAAGTGATTTCAGAGCTCTGCATAAACATATATATTTTTTTAACTGACTTATTTTGAGAAAAAAATAGGTTTTTCTTCTTCTCTTCTATATTTGATATTTTAGTACTGCACCTTTGTCCAAGTACATTAACATGTCTTGGTCTGGTTAGTGTTTTCACATTGGTATTATAATAAAAAATATAAGATTTTTTTTTTCTTTCAGAAGCCAGAAGGTCATTTGAATTCTGCTCTTATATCAGAAAGACCTGAATAACTCTAAGGCATTGATACTCAATCTTCTGGGCCTGCAGGCCAGATGAGTGTTGCAGGGCCAATTTTTGGGCTGATTCTGGCACATACCAGCTCAGCCCCAGGAGCCAACCAACCATGGCTGCATGCTTGTGTAATCTCATGTGCAGGACCATTTCATCTGGCTTGGGTGGCTCCCCACAGGTCTGTAAATTTGGCAGCAGGGAAGCTACAATTAACATTGCCACTGCTCTCCTGCTGCCAAATTTTCAGACTGATGGGTGTGCGGGCCGGGAGCGACCCGAGCCCTCTTCCGTGCTGCACGCGGGCTGTGGCCAGCAGCCCGGGCACGCCGGGTCGGAGAGGGAAGGCTGTCGAGCTGGAATTAGGCACAGACGCTTAGCGGTAGTTTAAAAGATTGTTTACTTACACCGAGATGGCAGTGGTGTAGGCTGGAAAACTTGCTTGAGTTGTGGTTACAGACAGGAAACAAAACAAAACTCGAACCTGCAGGGCACGAGGGTACGTCGCAAGGGGTTTTCGGCGACGGGAAGATGCAAAACACGAGGGTACGTCGCAATGGGTTTTCGGCGACGGGAAGATAAACCTGCAGGACTCGAACCCGGGTAGAAGAGCTCTGAGGTAGTTCGGTCATCTGGCAAGGACTCGCATGAAGTTTGCTAGGCTCCGTGGGTCCGGTTCTTTTGCGCGCAGGAAGGGATACGTCTAGGCTGCGATCAGCGATGGGGAGAGGCTAGAGGCTGATCAGACCTCTGTTGCCTGCTTGAAATGCACTGGGTCCGTAAGGATCCGCAGCGCTTAGAGATCTTCACACAGCGTGAAGATCTCCTCCTCCCGGTGTTCGTGGAGTCCTCCAGCTTGGGCGGAAACTGCTCAAGCCTTTTATACGGCTAGCAAGCCAATCACTAGCCGCCACGTGTGAATAATTTAGAACTGGCCAATAATGGGGCTCGAATTAGCATACAAATGGCAGGAACTCTTTGCAACGAGCATTTCTGTGCTGCAACAAAGAAATGCACCCTGCAAAGAAAGCTTCAAATTGGTGGGAAATTCTCCCTTGCACCGGGGTTCTCTTTTGCAGCAGAAAACTCCGCCGTGCAAAGAAGCTGTAATTTAGTGGGAACAATTTAGCAGTGCCAAAGCACACAAAAACAAAAATCACACTCTTTGGGTTGTGACAATGGGGAGCCCAAGGGCTGTATGACATGGCTTCATGGGCCATATCTGACCTACGGGCCAGAGGTTGAGCACTCCTACTCTAGGACGTGAAGTGAGGATGATGCTGCACTTTAGGTTTCTGTTGGTGGTTAGCACTGTCGGTGAAATGATTTGTAAGCATTTTATTGACTTTTATCTTGTTGTTTTCAAAGGACTGCTGGAAGCGCAGCCGTTGCATGAGGCAGATGAAGACACTGTTACTGATATTGACTTCACCACCATGATTTCTGAAGAAGAGAAAGAAGAGTTAAAGATTGAGCTAGTCAAGGTAATGCTTTTGACGTTCCCTGGGCATTAATATTTTTTACCTCCTGAATGTGGAAGTTTATAATTAGCAGAATGAAGTACATGCGCCACAAGATCTTTCCTTTTAATATAGTTTTTCTAGCCTAGAATAGTGCAAGATGATTCACTCTATCGGATTATTTTTGATAGCTTAGTCATCTATTACGTGTTAAAACTAAAGGTTGTGCCACTCCAACCGACAAGTTATTTGGCATTAGTTTTAAACTGACAACATTTATAATGAATGAAAGATCCTGAAATAATTAAATCCATGTGAATTCCAAGGGATGGTTATGTGATATGAAAATGAAAAGAAATTTTAACATGTTTCAGTAAAAAAGGCACTAATGATGATCATAATGTCATGACAAACAATAATACAAAGAAACTTTATAAAAAATAAAATAAATCTTCAAATAGTGGAAATCCTGGATTGGCTATAATTACATGGTATGGTTGAGTTAGTATGGGTGAGTTAAGGAGATGGTCAAAGTCAAGTTTATAGCACAAAGTGAGATGCAGCCTTGTCTGCTATTGGATACAGTAATATATGAGATTCATAGGCAGGAAAAGACGACAATGAGCAAGAAAAATGAGGACTCTAAATATGAAGTGGAATTGTAAAGATTGTGCTTCTTGACTTTTACCTCTGTTTTGTCTCTCTCTGACGTGGTAAGGGGATATGAAATAATAATTGTTACAGAAAAGGTAGCTGGGGAATTTCTGCTTATCCTCCCATCTAACAGAGCAAGAGATATTTAATAAAATTGTCTAGTCCAAATTGAAAATCAGTAAATTTCAAACAGTCCATGTGGGCAGTTATTCTGTAATTGACCCTTCCTCTGAAAGGGTAACGCTTGAAAACAGGATACCTGGTCTGATCCACAGAATAGTTCTTTATATAGAGACTTGTTCTTCTCAGTTGTACAATATAAATATTTATATTATAGTTAATAGACTTTTGTTTGGTTCATGATTTCCTGGACAAACAAAGGCCAACTGCTTACTTTGGTCTAGCTGGGCTAAAGCTATGAAATCTGAAATGAGTTATTTTTGTTTCTCTAGTGAACTTATACACCTGTAAACAATAGGAAAGTAGTTTAATTCTGACTTTATTGCTTTTATTACAGTATCTAGGTTAGCTAGGATTAATAAGATTGTTCAGATTTGCTCATAGTATGCAATTATGTCCAAAGAAAAATATTTAAGAATTGCATCTAGAAAACTTTGGAAAAATTGAGAAGTTTGGAAGATTCAAAGTCTATAATTAAGCATCAGTTCCATGAAAGAGATTTTGAAAAAGGCGTGCACATTAGCAGCTCCTATGTTAGTAACTTCAGTGGAAATTAGACAAAGTTGCCTTTTGCGCCTTTCAAAATCTCCTCTTGTCTTTACCTTCCAGTTCTTTAAGCCTTCCCAGCCCCTTCCACACTACATATGGCCCTTCAGTGGCACAGCATTCTTATAGTTACATCTATGCTTTCTTCCATGCTACCCTTTTTAGAAGGGCTTGTTTTTGCAGTGTCAGTCGATAAGGATTAATACCTTTTCCATCAAGTCCTTTCTCAAGCATCTTTTTCTTTATGCCTATAAGAGATCAATTAATAACCATTGGTGATGGATTGGCAGGTGTACTTAATATGGATTTATTTAAAATAAGTAAAATAAGGTATATAATGTCATGGGTACATGTGTAAAAGACTTATATTTAATTGTATATCTTAGTACATTTTTTTAACTTTTCCTGACTTTCTATATTGCTCATCTTGGGTATAAAGAAGAAAAAAGAAACTAACAATTCCATATATTATTTTCAACACTCGTTAAACTTTGCTTGCATGCTGTCTCCTGCTTGGTACTGCTTTTGTGCCTTGTCTTTTTGAACTGTAAGCTTTTCAGGGCTTGGGGCTTCTCTTTTGTGTTGGTCTGTCAGCTGATATTGATCCTAAATGAGGCACCATTTACAATGCAAATGAAATGGAACTAGAAATAATAATGGATAGAAATCCCTGTGTCTGAAGCACTGCAGGTCCTTTTTTATTCCAAAAAATATGGCAGACCTGTCACAAATTTGCTGGAAGACATGGAATTTCTATCAGAACATGAATCATAAACAAAGGTTAGCCAGGTATAAATGATTCTGAGTTTCAGAAGAGAAACAGATTCTACAAATGCATACACATGTGAGTAATTTCAGTTGTATGAAGATTCCTAGTGAAGTTAATAGGAGTACTCACACAAGTAAGATTAATGCATGTATTTACAGAATAAGTTCCTTAAGAGCTAAACTCAATGCACTGTCTGATGTGAGTTAGAGGTGTGACTCCCTTTGTTGGTAAATTTATTGTTAATATCCTAGGCTAAGTACAGAGGTTCAAAAAGCCTGAAGCAGAATCAGTTCAATCTTTTGCAGGCTTTTCTAAGCTGCATAGGTTGAACCAATAACAAACTGAACTGACATTGTGTGCAGGTGGCTAAGACCAAGAGAAGTCTGCACTGGCCCAGGCCAGGAGCCTGGGGGTGCTCATGTGCACCACACCTCATGGTGACACTGTCTAAGGCTGCTGAA